GCTTTATTTACTGTAACGTTGTCGCAGCTTTGTTTAAGGCAAGCTGTGTTGTCAGTCACGCTAACTCTGATTGTCAGAAGCCATTTCAGTCTGTGATGAACTGAACCCTGTCAGAGCTGATGTTTGCATAAGGTGTGCCATCACTCCAAATCACATCTGTGGATCAAACTCTGAGAGTATACACATAAACTGGTGTTATGAGCAGACATATGTTAGATATATATAATAGGTAAAACCAGGTCCCGTGACTCTGAGTGACACATGATCCTCTGGAGAGTTTTTAGGTTTGTTTTCCCAACACCAAACCACTGAGTCAAACCAGTCTGACCAGTGTGTCTGCTGCTTTGACAGCAAATTAAACATGACTTCAGTGTGTCTGCTTGCAGCTATAGATAAAAGGAAAACAAAGTTCACATGGTGAACTATGAGTGACCAAACACTTTGCCTTGTTGGATAGACACAGAGAAAGAAAACTGTAGTTTAGCGTTTGGCCCTGGAGGGTTTCAGCCACCACTGAGGTGATTAAGGGCATTTATTCTGTATGTTTCCTCTGTGGCTTTATTAAGGCTACAATTACATAGTATAAGGCCAATCTCCAATTTTATACATTTGATATATATATATCAACATTTTGGGGCTGATAGTAAACTGTTATTTATACAACACATTTGAAACAACAGCCGCTGACTGTGAATTCATCTAACAATTTAAAATATTAATGTCAAGGCCCTGCAGTGTGATTTACGATGTGGATTTACCTGAGTATTTTAAATATTACTGAGCTATAAAAACAACATATAAAATGCAAATGTACCTGCCTAAATTAAACTCTAAGGTTAAGAGCCTACAATATTTTCAATTACAGAATTTTACCTGACTAATTGAGATATTATACTCGACAAAACTACACAGTTACATTCAAAGATTCCCAATGAACAAGCATATTTGTGACAGTAAATGAAGATTTAACATTCAGAAATGTATTTTTGGTAGTCGGGTTGTTTTAACCTGCTAAGGGCCATCATTGACCCCCAGCTGTGTCACATGTTGTGCATAAGATAATATATAAGTTCAGTTTCATTTGGCCAGAAAATAATATAATTCTGCCTGTCGTCAAGATGGGGCTTCACATTCAGATTATAGTGCAGATGCTTTGAAGCCGTCATCATCTCAATTGTATCTACGAATTACCAATTCATTAAATTGCCACAAACAAATAGTCACATGCATCTAAAAGGTTTGGGGCCACTGAGTGTCTGCCAGTTACAGTACAACAAAATAAAACACAAAAAAGACCCTATTTTATCTTCTTGCTTCACAATTTCTTTGTGCATTTCTAAGAAGTTTGCTTGAAAGAACTCTGTAAATTGGTAGCAGCTCATATTTGCATGTTCGGCTGACCTGCTGTGCACTGAAAGACTCTTGCAATTCATTTGAATTGATTAACTGAGAGCACATTTTCCGCGCTCTCTGTAACAAACTCTTCACACGAAATGTAAAAGGAGAGATTTTTTAGAAAATCATGGACCTGAAATGTAAAGTTTCAGTGAAATTTTAAACTGTTATAGAGCAGAGTACATTGTAGGCCCTTTACCTCAGTAATTGTAACATCCAGGCTGCAGCCCTGCCTGTGTGCATGACTCTTTAAGTGCCACTTTGCAGTAGCATCATCCTTCTTTTAAACAAAGACCCTGCTGCAGCCACTTCTGCACAACTGACAGCTCAGATGAAGCAGTCAGATGGTGGTAGCTGCCCCCATTTTCTTCTCCACATCAGGGGAGTCCATGGAGTCATCATACCCCTCGTTGTGGTAAGCTGTGGATTTGCCCCATGTCACCCTGCTGGCTTTGGCCGGAGGTGACCCCACCTGGCTGTCGTCCTCATCCTCGACGTATTTGAGGCGTTGCTCTCCTCTGAGCTTCTGGCTTAACCTCTCGGACAGTTTCCTGGCGAGCTGCACGATGCTGTTGCCTTTCTTCAGACCGTCATCCACAGACACCCGCACGTTCCCCAAGTACCACATGAGCCAGAGGGCCAGGCTCGCGAACACGACCAGGGAGCCGGTGTAGATCAAGAAGTCGCCATAGAAGCGGCCGTCGAGGCGCACGTTGGCGAATATCCCGACGAAGAGCAGGATCACACCGGTAACGTCGAACAGGACGGCCATCAGGAATGCGGGCACACAGGAGCCGATGCACTTGAACGGATTCATCGTGGACACATCACAGCCGCTTTTACGCGTGAATAACGGCGAGACTCTTCATCCTATGTACCTGCGCCGAGGCTGCGCACCTGGACGACCCGCCCCACCTCAACGTGGAGATAAACAAGGTGTTTCCCCAGCAGGGCTGCTCAGTGTACACACACAAACCAAACACACATTGCAAGTGGTTTTCAAATGGCACTCTGCTTTTTGTTTTCAAACTACGCCACTGTGCCATCCAAAAATTACGCAAACGACGCAGGACTGACAGGACAGTTTTTGCATATCATTTGGCAGTCAAATCCCCCAGACTCCTGCATCATGACATCATTCACCTTAATTCTGCTTAGTGTGCAGTAGAAAGCCGCTTCAGCTGCATTTGAAGAATCACACATAGGGCCTAAACCTCTTCTTGTCATGCCATCTGAATGTTCAGAACTACAAATGATTCTCTTCATTTTCTCCCCATGTTAAGAAAACTAATCTATATTAGAAGTTCTGCAGTCTTGTCTCCATATTAGTATTTGATTTTGTAGCTTTTATTACACAGTGGTAGAAGAAGTAATTCAGGTCATTTATTCAAGTAAAAGTACAAATTCAGAAGTGTTCTAATACTCCTTCACAAGTAAAAGTCCTGCATTAAAAATCCCTTTAAAGTGAAAGTAGCAGCAAAATGTAGTTAAAATATTAACGTAAAAAAACAAAACAAACTGTCTTGGTTCCTCAGACTGTAATATGATTACACATGACATCAATAGATTATTAATAGTGAATCATCAGTGTGTCAGCAGCATGTTACTGTTGTAGCTGCTGCACTTTGAACTACTTGATATCCAGTTTTATATTCAGGGACAGCAGATAAATCTGAGGGCTCCAAACATGATTAATGGGAGAGAAAAGAGGAAAACCAAAGCTCTGATCCACACAACTGTTTTTGATTTTTCTCTAATCCTTTGATTTTTGATCAGATATTAGATCATTAGAACATTTGTTGAAATGAAACTGAATCTGATGGAGGTGTGAACAAGTCAGACATCTGGAACCTGAGCCTGACTTCACACTGCTTCTTGCTAAGAAGGCATACAGATACCTCAAAACTTGAATACATGCACTTATTACTTTCCACCACTGGTTTTAATAGAGCCAAAGATTATGTTTAACATGAATTAATCTGCTATTTTCCTGAATACTCGTTTGGTTAATTCAAGGCTGCTGACATATTTGAATGTCTTATTCTGTTGAACAAACAGTCTAAAACTCACAGATGTTCAGTTTGATGTCAAAGATAGACAACTCTAAGAACCAGGAAACACTGAGATTTTGCCATTTTGATCATTATTCATTAAGTAAAATGCAGACACAACTCTAATGGCTGCAGAGTTTGAGATATAAATGGCTTCTAACTAAAGATCTTAATAGTTGTGTGCTTTAAAACTGGAATAGAAATTAACATGATACTATTACCTTGATATCACAATATGTTACTTGTCACTACAGGCAGTACTTTCTGGTTAAAAGTCTAATATCTGCTCTCTTTTTTAGCCACTTGGGTGAGTCAGATTGGCATAGTAACAAATTCAGATATGCGTGGACTAATTAAATATCCAGAGGCCCAATCCTAATTTCCACGCTCACAGACTCACAGACTTTGAGGCGTTGTCCTGTTGAGTTTACCAGAAATTAGGGCTGGGTCACTGTCAGATCATGAGAGGTCTGATGAGGACTTTTTAGCATGTTGTGCTGACGGGCATGCTTGTAGTTTGCAATTGTTGGCTGATAAATGTTGTTGTCCTACACCAAATCTTAAAGTTTGAGTGATAACATTCGGCTCCTTGTTGTTGTGGTTATTATTATTATTATAATTATTATAATTACATTATTGCATGTTTGAAGAACTATTTGCATTTTCAGTTGAATGCACAGGATTTTAGAGATGTTCCTGACTTTTGGTAGTTTGCAAAAAATGTGGAAACACACTAATGTCACTAACCATGATTGCTCAAGCAGGTAATCAAACTGTGAATGCGACCAAATTCACTTCTTTAAAATGGTGAAACACTGATTTTAAGCAACATGAACTGTCGCAATAGTTCCAGTCACCCTTTTTTTTTTTTTTCGAGCCACAAAGCACTATTTTGGAATTTAGTTTCTGGTCAATTGATGAATGTGAGCTCAAAATGCATGCTTTTTTTTAGCTCAGATTCTTGAAAAATATACATCTCTGCAGCAGATAAACGCTTTGTTGTGTTCACCAACTAGTCTCTAATTGTGTCTGTTTGGTGCCGCGCAGGACGGATTCGGTTGCCTGGAGCTGCCCTCTGTCAGGAAAATGAAATATCAGTGAGTAAACCAAATCAGTCATCCAAACACTGAGCTGAAAGAGGCTACAATGCTCCAGAGAGCTTCAGGCAACTGAGGAGTTGGGTAATAAATCTCTATACATTCATTACTACAAGCGATTTCTGTCTCATCTGATTCCTTGTTAATATAAAAATATCGATTAAAGCCATTCTAAATACAATCAACACTGCGAGTCCAGTCAGTGGACAAAGCTCATTTATATTTCATGCCCATTATAATGGAAGCTGGGTCTGAAGGGGTTACTTAAAATTTTCTGCCACACAATATTTAAATCTTATGAAAATGTGCTTTCAGGTCACACCAGTCAAATTCTCACCCTTTACATAATTCAAGGATGAATGCATTCAGATTCAAAGTATCCTTTGCAGTGGCTCAGCTCCACAATGAGGACTTTAGCGGATGTGGCTACACACAGTAAACTGGGAAGTGACAATTATAAGCTCTCACAACTTTTAATTATTCATGATTTTTCTTTTTTTTTTCATATACTGTACCACACAACATTAGGAAATCCCCCTTGTCCACTTTCCCCTTTCATAAATATTCATGAGGACACTTTGCTTTCTAGTATCCTCCTAGCTAAATTGTGTGTGAATGTGTGAATAATTGCCTTTTATACAGCACATTGTTGTCCTTGTGCGCTCACCTTCTTTTCAGCAGCCGCGGTTATTAATGCAAATGTTGTCATGCACACTTGAGACTGAGATAGTGTCGTCAATCCCGGTAAATCAGAGAAACAAGCATAAATGTCACCACGCGGAGTCTTTTAATAATTATGTTCCACAGAGGATCCCATGCTGAAATGATTAACTTCAATCTAGTGTGCTTTTTAAAGTTTCCTCTTCTTCTGAATTACTTCCAAACAAAATGTCAGCGCCCCCGCCATCACAGATTGAACGCCGGAGGCCTGTAGTAACTGAGGGGCCGCTTCATATTCGACCGCTTCCTGTTCTCTTTGGTGATGGGGATCAGGACCACGCCCACCACAAACACCATCAGCCCAATGGACAGCAGGGCTGGCCCCAGGATGTTGGTGACTTTCTTGCAGTGGCCGGCGAAGTAGAGGCCGCTGATGATGATGCCGCACGCCAGGAAGCTGCCTCCGGTGGACATGAGGTGGATAGGGAACCAGAAGACTTCACGCTTGCTGCGGGAGGTCTCGGTGGTCCAGACGGACTCGCTGCGGGACAGGCTGAACACGGTGCTCTCTGTGCGGCTCGGGGGCGTCAGCTGGTCCCTGGACTGGGAGAGAGTGCACTCTCCCAGGGGGATGTTCTCTGGGCTGCCCGGCATGGCCTCCTGGGTGACTCTGTGGAAGTCATGTGGAAAAAGAATCAGTCTGGAAGGGAAGATGAGTCTCTTTCTAGTAACAACAAAGTCACTGATACATTTATACATTTGTAGTACATAACTGTTACCAGGAAGCCACTATCGAGACAAAATGATCTTAAAACCAGTGCTTTTCTAAGTGTTCAAATCTTAGACATCCAAACATGTCACGTCTACATTACTTTTTCTCCCTGCTCGGACATAAATTCCTGCCTTTCCCACTGGACAACAGGAGTAAACAACACCTACCTTGAAAATATGGATCAAGAATAGGCAATAAAATCACTTAAGGATCAGAAAATGTCCTAAAAAATCTGAAAACATCTAGAAATCTGATCGGAAACTGCCAAAAAAAATTTCTGCCCACCGTCCTTCCGACTGGAGAAACCAGTCAAACGCAGCGCTGCACTGAACAACCATCTACCCACCCTCCTGTACTATCTCCACCTCCTCAAGAGAGTCCTGTGACCACCATCCCCTTACCATCATCTACCATCGCAGGCGGTCTGTCCTGATGCTTGCATCCAGGGCGAGGAGATTGCTATCCAGTCCCCAGAGGATATCCATAGACCCCAAAACCACTCAGCCAGACGCCTCCGTCGGGCTCTTAAAAGGATTTCAACTAAACTTCTACAAGCAGCTCGGGTGTTGCCTTTTTGTTTGAAACGCCTGACATTTTCCAGGACAGGACAATGAGACGGAAAAGATCTGCCTCAATTGGCCGGCGCTCTTTCCACACAAAGAGAAGCAGGGCAGGGCAGAGACGAGGAAATGGCTCTCTGTTAGAGAACGATTGATGTAGCAAGCAATCAGCCATACAGAAACTTTCCAATACAGCCTGATATGTTGGCACAGTATTGATCCCAAAGTGGCCTGGAGCAATTATCTGCAAGTTGTAGTTTTGTCCACTGAACATGAGATCAATAAAATCTGTGTAGCATAATTAACCCTCAGAAAATAGAGCAAATCATTCAGAGTTTTGGTCAAATTTAGGAGTTTTTTTTCACCACCTTGTTATTCAGCTTCTTAAATTCCCTGCATGGAGAGTGGAGGGGGGGAGGGGGGAAGCACAAGAGGGATGTTGTTGCAATATGACACTCCTGCTTCCATTCAACAGCCCCGAGATTACATTTGTGTCTTTGTTGCTCTGTGTGCTCTTTTGGAAAGACAAGTGTCAGTATGTGGCCATTGATCCGAACATGAGCTCACATTTTACCACAATTACACTCTACAGAGAGCTCCTAAGCTTTGAAAATGGCTCTTCAGGGCTGCTACTTGTACTCGGCAAAACACCGAACCTCCTGCCTGATTTCATTAGATTACTGCTGTCATCTGTTTAAAATGCACCATCCTGTGGAGCAACACTGATATGATGAAACCCGTCAGCGCTTGCAATGAGCCGCACAATCCAACAGAGGGCGCTACGGTCATGCGGCTTGGCACGAAACGATTTGAATTCAGGTTTGCTGTGTCATTAAGTTTTAGTGAAATGCTTCATAGCAGGATTATTCGGTTAATTCTGTGTTTTGGTAATTACCTCAGGCTCTGGTTCGTTCTGACGTGCCTTATGGATCAAAGTCTTTTATTTTGCAGCCACATGCGAGGAATTAATTATCCATTCAATGTAGTGCTACAGTATTTTGCAATTATGATGTGTCTAATTCTCTTTAATGGTCCATTTAAGTGGGTTGTGTCCCGTTCACTTGATCGTAGTAATCAGAGGGTGTTTTCCACCGTTGAGTAAACCTGCAGCAGGATGAGGTGGAGCCGCAGACCTCCGTGGAACTCACGTCAGTCAAAGAATTAACTCGTGTAGGCATTTGGCATGGTTTTGTACTTGTGATGACGGTGCATGCAATCAAAGGGGGATTTGAAGTATTTGTCAATGAAATTTAGTAGATTAAGTGCATTGTAAATTAAAAAATACCAAATATGCTTTAGTTTGAGCTTCTGTATTGGGAGGATTTTCTTTTCATTCCTGTTTTAAATGCTAATAAATTGATCGTTTTTGACTGTTTGTCAGACAAACAGGGAATTATAATAGGCACATTTTACAATTTCCCAAGATTTATAGACTAAACAACCAATTAATCATTGAAGGAAATGCTCAGCAGGTCAATTTATGATGCACAAAATCATTATATGCATCCCTAGGTTGAAGTTTAATAGAAACACTGAAATAGTGACTATTTTGTGCAGAATTTATACTGTCTGACACTAAGTAAATACCCACTCACTAAAAGATGGATTGATGAAATTCATTTAAATGGCAGTAACTCTGCAAGAAAGGATGACTCACCTCATTTATTCAATTGCCTTCATCTATTACCGTCCGCTCAATGGTCAGGACAAATTGTTATATGTATATTAGACCTTAAAGACAGCAATTTGTTTGATTAAAATATAACGCGCAACGTTAATTAAAATGTAGCTGCAGGTTTCTCAAGTACCTGTGGTCACGGAGAGGCGTCCATCACACAACTGGCAGTTTCTCATTTGTGTTCAAAAGTTAAAAGTTGAGCCAGTATATTGGTAAAGCAAACTACAGGTATCAGTCTAATCCTATTTGATAATACAAACACACAGAAGGCTGCCGAGGATTAGAGGTAATAAGCCTGATCTTGAGTCAGCACGCTGAGTTTGTTGGTTTGGTTGCAGATTCAAATGAACTGTGGACTTTGAGGTGCAACGTGCACACCTTCTAGTTAAAGCCACCAGAACTAAGATGCTCTAACAACTTCGACCCTTGCTTTTTTGTCCAGAAATACTTTCTGGCCAAATGAAGCCTCACTTGGAGCCTCGTTAACTCCTGAGCAAATATCAATAAAAACTGTGCAGATATTTATTCCTCTGCGGACAAATCACATTCCAGGTAATACACGGCTGATTTATTAACACGCGGAGCTTCTGTCTCTGCAGGTGACCTTGGGAAACTAATTAATCTGCTTTGCATATTTGCAGCTTTTTTGTTGAATAATCCCAGAGGTGGAGGCGTACAAACAACTGTAGCATAAAGGCTCTTTCATCCTTGGCAACGCAGAGAGAAATGCGATATTCTCTGAAACGTAAACACCAGCCATTGATTCTCTGCTTGATATCAGTGATCTGTGATGCTAAATGCATTTAGATGAAATGTAAGTATTTACTTTTCAGATGTGTCCACTTTCCAGTGATGAGCCAACACTGAATTTTCTTTGCAGTTTATTATGTTTCAACTGATGATAATCGCAAAACATCGTATTCTTTTCAAAGTGTGTTTTGCTTCGAGCGAACACACAGACTCTGGTTTATCTCTGTAAACAGGTATCAGATACCACTTCTGCATGAGAACTCAGTGCAAATGAAGCCTGCTAATTTATTTCAGAGCATTCATTTCACTGTAATGTTGCATCTGGAAAAATAACATTGAAAAGGCAGATCTGAGTTTAAATTTCACCTACAGTGCAGAACAACCAGAGTAGTTTGTAAATGTGTTTCAATCGAATCAGAGTCGCTTTATAAGCTTTCTGACCATTTGCAATAAATTTAAAGCAACCTAAAAGTGGCATGCATGGATATTAGCAACATTAAGTAAAGGTAAATTGGTCTAATTCAACTATTCTCCTCACAATCAATGTCTAAGCGCCATCAGTCTGTCATCTGCTGGCTGCCAGGTACCAATAAATTACTGCTGCTGGTGTTTTGGCTCCTGTATTGAAGGATAGAAATGATTGAGACGCATTCAAGTGGATTCAAATTTTAATTTTCTTTTTAAATTAACATTATGACTTGCGTGGTCCAAAGCTCGATAAAAGCAGGCTAGACTTTGTTTCTCCACAGCCTCTCTAGTTCTGCCGCATTTAATTATTGGTTTTTGTCCGTCGGTCTGTTTCACCATCTCTTAACAGATTTAAATGAACAGTTAAAATGCAACCAAAAAAGGGACCAGACAGACGAATGACATACGACACTAACAAGATCTGTCCACATTAAACAGCTAATTAATGAATTAATGTTGACAAACATGTTGTTCTAGACAGTGAAAGATTGCTTTCGGTGGATTTTTACATTCACCTCTTTTTTTTTTTTGTTGGGGAGGACAGTGAAGGTATGCTGTCACTCTTTGCTTTTCTTTTCTTCAGTGATCAGATCTGCATGTACTGATGTACACGGCCATCCAGTTTATTCATAATGCTGGAATAAAAATATGCACATAATGCATGCTCCCAGTAGACAGAGAAAAGGTGACTACAGCTCGCCTCCGACGGTCCTTGGGCCTTGGTGACGTCAATGGCCTGCACTGTTCCTCCCCTGCTGTGTCATGTCAGAGACAGAGAAAGGCAGGCAGTGCTAATAGATTCTGTGGGAAAGGGAAAAAAAAAAAAAGTGGATTGTATAAACAGATCAATAGCTCAGCCACGTCTCATTTCTGACAGATTTGTTTTCCCACTCTGATAATTGGGCAGAGAACACAGTGTGCCACACTCCTGCTGATCTGACGGTTTGTAGTCTCTGGGTTCTCTGGGCTCACTGCTTTGTTTTTTTTTTTTTTTAGTTCAAGATTTTGGATGGTGCTGATAAACTGAAACTGGCCAGGGGGGGTACACACGTAAGATTTGTTGTAAGATGTTCCCCAGACTGAAATTGGATAGGCTAAATTTAGGTTGATTGTTGGGCAGGAGGTACTGTCGATAATGTCAAGGTTGTTTATACTAGCGGAGCACATTTTAAAACCGCAAAGTGTTGCATAATATTTTAAGAACACAATCACAGAATGGACAGAAACAGGACTGTAGACACTCCGACTATCAAAAATAAACTAAAAGATAGAAAATACTAAATAAGTGAGTCTCTGTTCAGGAAGAATTATATGTCAAAGTAGCAAGTCTTTAGAAAAGATGTCAAAGTGGTCAATGATGATGCTGTAGACAAAGGCTGTGGCTTTCTCCGGCAGCTAGCAGACTGAAAATTTCAAGTTCAAATTTCAGGGTCAGATTAGTCACTGTAGGGGACACCGTTGCTTCACTCTGGGCTCAACCAAGATCATAGCAACTGGTTTATCCAAATACAAACACGCCAGAGCTTTTCCCTCCTATAGCAGAATGATAAAAACGTGCATTACACCCCCTGTTCATTGTGCAATAGGAACATTCCTACAAGTGCAATTTATCTATTTACTGATGCAAAAGTATTTATTGATGCAACATGTGTTGTTATGTGAATGTTGCTCTTACTTCAACTTATGTTTTTTGTTGTGGATGCCCAAAATGTCTTTCACTGAAGGAGAAGCATTTCTAATTTCGTAGTACAATTATATAGTAACAATAAAGGCTTTCTAGTTCTGCAGTCAGACCGTTCTGCA